CAAAGGACTGAATGGATATAACAGTGGATCTCATTAACAACACAAGTGAAAGTTCACAATTTCTTCCTGCTATTAACTGTTACAGATAACTCTTTAACAGGCATACACTAAATTTATGACCACACTATTTTTGACAGTGGGTTTTTAAAAGGCATGCATTCAAGTTAAACATCTTTTGTGTCTCTGAACTTGACAATAATAGTACATCACACCAAGGGCAGACAAATTACACAGTATACAAAAATGTTTCTCCTTCAAATTAGCAAAAGCAAAACCAAAAGGGGAATTATAAGAATAAATATAGCACTGGAGGAATATATATGATTTTAAAGAAGCAAAGTGCTTAATTTATGTCTTGTTAATATTAGGCAGAATCTTTATTTTGAATTGCACAGTATAATCAAATATTAATGCAGTAGCTTCTGTCCTGTAACTGTAGATGACTGTATGAAAGGCATTCCACTTTGGTTTATAGTATTGTATTCTCATGCAGATCTGACCCCCTTTAATATTTACATGACACTAAAAGGAAATACTGGCCTCCAATGATATGTACTATATGGACATTAGCATAGCTCATTCAGAATGGTGTCATATTCCAACCAAGGCCATTGTAATCTGTGCACAGGGTACAATTGGACCAGAATTCACAGCTGTTCTATTAGCATAATTAGTTCATATTAGATCACCTGTAAATAACTGAAAAGTTCTTGTACATATTGTGTTACTGAAGCTCTCAATACAAACACATATTAATTTTGTTCTATATAGGCAGTTGCTAAAATAAATATTCCTCAAAAACTATAATTCCCTGTTTAATGACAGTTTTAAACATTCTGGAAGGTTCTAGACTGTTACTTCCATTAGTACACACACTGAACTTTTACACACTTTGAATATCATATTTTTATAAGTGTAACAATTGTAAACTAGATTAATTAGTATGGTGGACCTTTTTACAGTTTGTGCTTATAAAAATATATGCCTCTTAATACTTCAGAAGACAACGATTATAAGTGTAATTAACATAATGGAATCAGTCCTGGAAACTGTGGTGCCAATACTGACAAAAGCACAGTGAAACAGATGATACACAAAGGTATTCTCACCAAATTTAAGACATTAGTGGCATGAAATACAACACTCAATAACATACTTGTAGGGGTACAGTGTAAATGTAGCATCCCAGGCAAGTTTCCAAACACTTCATATACAACTGACACTATATTCTGGGAGGTCACAGTATTGGTCATTCTAAGCAAAAAGTGTATACGTGCATGTGTCCTATACAGAACGGTTTTTGAGACAGCTATTTCACTGTACACTTAAAAAATTACGTGCTGTTTCTAATACTGGCATTTATTGTTCAAGTGACAAAGTTGGTACAGTTCACCTAGTATAATACATTTTCAAAAATTCCACAGTCAACATAAGTGCACTTAGAAACTCATGGGAGGACATGGTGTATTACACGTCTGTATGCATCTTGGCATTCCTTTAAGTGGGTGATGACATCCATACTCCTATCTCGGAAACCGCTAGGAATAGGACACATGTACATTATACACCTTTTTGCTTAGAATGACCGATACTTTGATCTCCCACAATATTTACCTTTCCTCCTGGGACATCCTGTATAATAAAAGGTATTGTCGCTGTGCTTAAGTAGTTAAGTACTATGCCACGAAGACATGGAGAAGTGAGGGTATAGCTCCACCTTTGTACATGTAGCATTAATATTGGTAGTCTCTGATGGGGTTTTGTTTTGCACAGGACTGTAAAAACCCATATAAACAATGCATTTGTCACCAAATTTGTATAAAGAGTATAGTTATGGAAAAAAGTTTGGGGAACATTTAAAGATACAATATAAAAATAATAAATAATGACAGTAGTGACAGTAGAAGCTATTCCCTACATTAGGTAGAATCACAGAATTGTTGGTTTATTACCTGAAAATGCTAGTCATGCTAAATTTTACATTTTACATTTCTGGAAATACTGTCACACATTGCACAAAAGATCACTTTGTGGATGTACCATATCAGGCTTCCTTGATCTATAATTGAAGCTCTGGTTGCTTCATCCTTGAAGAAGTCTCAGCACTTTCAACAAATAGAGTGTCTGGTCATGTGCTGAATGACAGGGGTTTGATCAGATAGTACTCAAGTTTATGAAGTTCAGTTGGCTCTGACAACTCTGGATGTATTAGCGAAGATACTGATAGTGCTGAATCCAGGTCTTCCAGCACAAGTTTAAATTTCATTTCTTTTTTATTTAAATAATTCTTAGCTGGTGTTTCTTTTATACACAGGATTGAATTTCTAAAGCACATTAAGAATATTCCGAATATAAGACTATAAAAGGATGCAAGATGGGGCACGCAGTAGCGTAGTTGGTTGAGGGGGTTGAGGTCATTGGATTTTTTTCAAGTGACCCAATCCTTCCAGCCGCACTATGGCCCTGGGGTCAACTTGGCTTCTAACAGAAATGAGTACCAGGAATTAATTAAATAATTTTCCTGAGGAGTAAAGTGCGGCCAGCGTGTAAGGCTGACAACCTTACCACCAACTGTGAGCCGATTTTCTAGATAATGTGGGACCCTCAATGGCTCACAACCCTATGGGCCTTCACGGCCTGTTACAGGGATAGCTTTACTTTTTTTTTTTTAAAGGATGCAAGGCATGGCATGTGAAGTGTGTTACCAAAGCCAAGTATCTAAAACTGCATTATGATTCTCATCTATTAAGAAAAAACTACTAGCTAACAAAAGTATAAAGTAAACTTATTTCTAAATTATGCAGTAATATTAAATATAAGGTTTGAGAATCCAGACATTTAACTTAATCTTTAAAATTAGCAGACAAATGTAATACAAAAATTACAAAACCACAAAAAACTCATTAAACTGAGATGTTGACCATTTTCCATGATCTCAAACCAATTTCACAAACAGGAGTGTTTCCAACCATGAGATGGAACAAAATTTTCTAATATAACTTTTATAATAATAGATGACATTTATATCAAATGGAAACATGAGAAACCCAGTGTGACCTCATCTCTGTCATCTAAAAGGTTTACTTCCTACATAACTTTGTAGGATCTTAAGAGAAAGGTACATCACATGCAAACAACTGATTCAAAGTGATATTTTCATACCAATAACATATACACTATCTCCTTGTTTTTACAAACATTCAGTTAGAAAATTTTCACATTAAGGCACCTGGGAGAACTAATGTGCATTTTTTAGTATTAAAAAAAATTGACTTCAATTAAAACAAGCCAAGCCATGAGTAAAGTTCACCTTTTACAAGTCAGTACCATCCTTGTACCATGGTATTTATCTTGCACTATAGTATGACTCTGTATGTGTCCTGTACACATAATAATGTGTAACATATAATCAGCTGGTCATCCACCCACAGCAGCAATGAAATACAGAACCAAAAGACAAATGGACTTGGGAAAGCCTAAGAAAAGACAGTGTGCTTTGATTTAGAAGGGGAAATAATGTATATATTTTCTAATCTAACATGAGTTCTGTTACAGATTATGTTGTGTTACATCACTTCCATACCTCTTATGGCGATCACGGTGAATATAAATATCAAATATAATACTGAATCCCAGATGAATATATGAATAGTTTAGCAGCAGATGAGATCATATGGCTGCATACTAAATTCATGGTCATGGTAAAGCTGTTCTCATATAAACAATATGATTATAGACGTTCTAAAAATTAACATTCATGAATACTCAGAACATGTTATGCATGATATATTGGTCCCAATTTCCTGAAGTGTTTTGAACAAACTGCACAACAATTAAACAAAATAGCATATAAAAATATTGCTCTTCCAAAGATTTGGATGCTGATTATACTCTGGCTGCTTTTTCTAAGGTGCAAAGCAAGGGTAAATATCCAAACATATAAGCTATTAAAAACCATAAATAGTTACCTCTCAAGTAAAGGTGGCTCCATTTGATAGTTTCATATTCAAACTTCACTGCAAGGTTTATGAAAGTGACCTTGCAACAAAGTGAATTATTCACAGAGTACATGTAATGTCCATATCATTTGCATCATGCTATTATAAAATTAACAGGCCATGGATGAAGCTAATACTGTAGAGTGTTATACAATGTCAATATTGAATTAGCAGTCAATTAGAATGCTGCTAACATAAATTTTATCATTCATCACAATGTGTTTCCTTTCCAACTAAATTTAAGAAAAATTATTTTCCTTGCATAATCATATATGCTTGGAGGAGCAGTTAAAGTCCATATTCCCTTATCTTCACAAGTATGGCCTCTTTGTTTATATCATGGATGTACAACCTTTTCATAAAATTTGAGGTGCTCACAGCAGTTAATATTAGGATAATGGGTCTTCTGGGATGGATGTTGGTGCAGTTTGGTAAATTGGTGCCAAAATTTTGGAGTAGTTTTCTGCTTCCATCTTCAAGGTATAAGATGAAGGAAGCAGGTTCTCTGAAATGTAGTTACCTATCTACCAAAGTACGCAGCATCACGTTCCAGAAGATCATAATCACAACCTTTTCACTTCAAAGGCTCCCATTCACAAACTGCCATTTTGCCTGCAGTCCACATTAAGAAGGCCTACATGAGGGTATTTATGTAGAAAAGGCTTAACAGCATTTTCAAAAACTAAGTAGGAAAAAAGACTTTACTGAAAAAGTAAATTTCATTACATATATATTTTTATGTTTGTATGCAAATAAAAATATACCCTTGTTATTGTAGGATCCGGGATAGAGTAGTTGTTATAGTGACTGGCTACGGGCTGGACAACTGAGGGTCAGACTTCAAGTCCCAGTAGGGTAAAGAATTTTCTCCACAGCATCCAGATGGGCTCTCAGGTCCACCCGACTTTCTATCCAATGTGCACTGGGGGTTCTTTCCCCAGGGGTAAAGCAGCCGGGGTGTGAAGCTGACCACTCACCTACAACTAGTGCTGAGGTCAAGAAAATTTGGATCTATGCATCCACTCCCCCATACACCTTTATGGCGTAGTGCTTGATTAGTTAAGCACAGGGTCAATTTTACCTTACTGTTGTTAATGTGAATGTTAAAATTCTCATCACCAGTAACCCAACTGTATATATGAAAACAACCACTGGACGTACAAGACAATTGACTGAAAGTACGGCAGACTGCAGAGAAAATGTCTAGCACCATGGGTTGTGCATAAAAGGTTTATATCATTATTAAAAATTTGCAGACTTTGCAATCAAGTCACATCATTTTTGCATAAGTTTGCTACGTTATTACCTAAATTACAATAATCAAAAGCATTAGATTCCTTTGAGAACAGGTTCAATATGGTCATAAGACAGTACATACAGGTACTTCATAAACAAATTTTTCAAAACGAAAATTTCTATAGAAATTTCTTGTAAGCTCTAACAGAAATATGGAGATTCTTCAATTTATAACACTGCAAAGGTGCTTGGAAAGCAATCTGGCCAAGACTAGTTAGGAGAGACTTCTGATCAGCTTATGATGGCATAGCAGCATGACATACTTAGGTCCCTGTAAGAACAGATTAATATTCTGGAAGATTTCCAGTAATATTAACAAATACTACATATGTCAAAGTTGAATGAATCAACATTTTATATACCTCAAACATAAGGTGAATGCCAGAAAATTAATAAAGTAATGCAGTTTCTATCAATTAAACAGATATCTATAATGCAGGGCAAACAAAGAGCTTTGAAAATTCACATATTTCAGCATCTTAATTATGACAGAACACAGATAATATCCACAAACACAAACACTTTGACATTTCCTCACACAGAAGACAACTCCATTACATCATATTTTCTCTCTTTCTTACACAGGATCGGATAAAACAAAGAGAAATAGTATATTCCAATCCCAATGCCACTTAATGTAAGAATGATGGCCATGTAGCCCCATGCACCCAAGCCACCTCCAGAACTCTTCCCCGTTGATCCTAAAATGGAACATGTACTACATCTACATCATGAGCCTCAAAAACAGTTTATTATATATACACAAAATATAGAATACTCCAATTTGTCCATGGGAGTACAACAAAATCGCAAAAACCAACGACTGACTCAATGATGTAAAGCATCACTTGAAGAATTTTATTCTTGTTTTCTACTATAACTTTTGTTTTATATAATACGTAGTAATTTATTGTACTTTTACGCCAAGTATTTCAATATAATTAATATTATTGCATCCAATTTTACTAGTACTGCAGTTCAGTGGTTTATATACATGTATGTTGGCCATGTATTTTGCCTGAAGATGGCTTTTAGTAGCCAAAACATGTAGCAGAGCCAAACTTGGCACTGACCTCAATTTAGTTGAGTTGTGATGGGTTTAATAAAGAGATTGTATGTAACACACAGTTAAGGGATACAAATTGTATAATTACTGTCAGCCAAAAACATTTCTGAGGGTGCATCATTATCAGACAGTTGCACAGATCGACTGGTCATTATTAGAACTGTTACTAGATTCTATTTTCAACATACAATAGGAACCAAAATCACCATACTGGAGATCTCCTTCATCACATGGGGTATTCCATCCATAAGATTGGCCACTCAAGCCATGACATACCTACAAAGTTGTTTTACAATAAGTATACTACTAAACAAACAATAAACACATGAAGTAGGACAGAAAAAGTATAAGCAACATCTAGCTCATATTGGTATATAATCATTTATGGACTCATGCAGGCTGTTACTGGTAGAATATAATAGAAGCATTTGAGTACAACTGTAGTCTGAACAATTATGACATGAAAACATCAAAGCGTATTAGAATTTTTGAGTTTTATCTGGAAGGGATGAATGACATTTATACTTATTTTAAACATTTTTTTAGTGGATCACTGACGTACAAAATTAAATAGTGCTGTTTAATCAAGTATCACTTCTGCTTTTCAGGCAACTCATGATAAAACCCACCTGAAGCATTTTTCTGGTGTGTATCAACCTTCGATCCTCCCTGTTGATCTCTGTTGTATGATCTTCCCTCTCCATAGTAATTTGCTTTTGAACTACGGCTGTCAGCTTTACATAATCCATCCACGACTGAAAAACAGTTTGTACTTACCAATCAGTGAATGTTTTATAATGTAGCAATTTTAATTTTATGAGCCTTAGCTTTACACCATTAAACACTTTCAAGAAAACAACGCGTATCGAATATTTAAACGTCCATAAACCCACAATAAAACCAAGTGCCCCTCAAATAACAATACTTTTCTCCTTGGTTAAATGAGAAAACAACGGATATTAGCTTCCTTGGCGAACAATGACCATTGAGTTACAGCATAAACAATATTAACGTTCGAAACAAAGCGAAACTTCAGATACCCCTACATTGCCATGTGACGGGATGATTCAGATTTTAATAAGTATATCTCTCTAATTTAATGCAGAAAATACAGTAATTATAATTACTTCTTGAACGGTACTACTTACGGAAAAGAAATATAAGAAAATATAATACTGCTCGTGTCATGTTTGACGAACTATGACATTTACAAAATGACAATTCGGTTACCTACACACATTCCGACCACACACTACATACTCCACATACCAACATACCATACATCAAGTCAGGGGGGAGGCAACTGAAATAGGAGAAGGGGAAACACGGTAACTACTGCCTCTATGAATGACGGCAGATACTACACACAGATCTCGACCAATCAGAGAGCCCAAACAATCAAATTTGAGATTTGAGGCTTTCACGGCGGTGACTATGAAGAAAGCAGTCTTCTGGGATTTGGCACCGTGTATATGTGGTGTTAACCGACGTTTCGGAGGAACGTATCGCCCCCATCTTCAGGGTAGAAGAAAAAGTATAAGAAATCTGCAAGCGACAACACCGTGAGAAACGGTAATGGGGGCGATACGTTCCTCCGAAACGTCGGTTAACACCACATATACATGGTGCCAAATCCCAGAAGACTGCTTTCTTCAATCAAATTTGAATTCCCGCAATTATGTGCAGTTACGGTGGTTCGTTATGTGCAAGTTTATAAGCATGCACTTTGATTTGATGTTGCGAAACGAAAGTAGACATTTGCGAACGAAGTTACATCTCCATATTAAGCATATTATTTGTGTATAAGAATGTTATTCTTGCCACCACGAATTAAATTAGAAACATATAGAATTCTTTCAAGCCTCAAATTTTTTAGGTTATCATGAACTGTCATCTAAACGATATTTGTTTTATGATATGTTCTGCAACTTCCGGTTTATCCCAAAGATTTTCTGTAGAATGTGAAGGAGTTCTAATAATACCGTGATGGTGTATAATTTTTGTGTTGCTTCTTGCAGTATAAACATGAAAACAAAAACTTTTGCTGCTTCTGGGTCCGTGTCCAGCAAGCACGGCATGAGATTCTTCACCTTTCCAAGGGATGCAGCAAGGTATATCTGTTTTAATTTATGGTGTAATTACTTTATTATGTGTTGCTTAATCCAATGAAAAAACTGTGGGAACATCCCACATTATCACGCATTTCTGCAACGCTCGCTCTTCACATCACTTTTCACCATCACGCGAGCTAACCAATCGAATTGCTCCAAACGTTCGCATTTATACTACGCTCGCTGCTAGCCCGCACTACATCATTACGCGCGCTAGCCAATCAATTCTTCCTCCTCAATTTCGAGTTTCGCTCCGCCCACCGAGCAGTGTATACAAATGGGCAGCTCCAACAGCAGTTCATCATGGCGGCGGTCAGGCATACGACCGTTCAAGTGACTAGACTGCCGTGGTAGCTAATACTACTAGGATATATATAAAAGGGCATAATCTGCTGCACCTAGCCTGGACTGACGGAGGCCATGTATATATTGTACATTTAAATAAGAAATAAGTGTATTATAAATATGTAAATACAGACAGTGGACTTAGTACTACAGACTGACTAACAAATGACAGACCCGACCTCTCAGAGAGGGCGCTACACATGGACAAGACCGTAACTTTCATTCAAGAGAAATATCTGGTCATGAGCCCCAGCTGGGGCTCGACACCAAGACAGACAGACTGACTGACCGTCAGTTGCAACGTGACTCAGACTCAGCAGTTCAATAGTTGACTTCAGTCTATGATCAAGCCACACCAAGCAGCATCAGCCAGCAGGCTTCGTCGCCAGCGGTCGGTCTTCGGAGGCATCGGCAGGCTGTGCCAGGCACGACTGCCTCGGCTTTCCGGCTCTCACCACCCAACTCACTGGGGCACCTCGCCTGGACTCGCCGGTGGTCGTGTCTCTGTCCAACCCACTGGGCACCTGGCGTAGCCACTGCCTCATCACTCCTACGACCGCACTGAAAGACTAGCCTTTCACCAGCAGCCGCCGCACGGCGATCAAGCAACCTCCAGCCACGGCCGCACTGCGGCCAGTCCATTCACCGTAACTAACCTCTCCCTACCGGCACACGCCGCGCTGCCTCACCGGTCAAGCATCTCAGCAGCCACGGTCCTTTTCAGGGCCAACAAACTGTTCCGAAGAAGTGGGTAGTCATCGGAGTAATGACAAGACTACATATTGACGACAATCCCACAAAACTAAGTTTTAGTGTATGTCTGTGTTCAATTTATTCAACATAACCCCAAAATTTAAAATGTGTGCCAAGTTTGTAATGTTTACTGCAGAATTATTTCTAGGTTTTGAGATTATTTGTTCTACTTCTACAGGTCTGCAGTATGGGCAGGGAAAGTAGGAATATACTGCACTATTGATTCTGCTAGAAGGCTGCACAATAAATATTTGTGCAGCAAATATTTCCTGGACAGTGGTTTCACTACAGCTGAAAGCATACACCTGAACAGAGTGGCAGTACCATGTGACTCAGATTCTGCTTCACAGTCATGCCCACAATCTCCTGTCCCTTCATTACATACACCTGCCTTGGATCGTTTGCCTTCAGTTATAACTCCCACCCCTTACAGCAAGACAGTGGTGCACTCCACTGTAAGACCTATTTCTATACATGCAGACTGTCTTTCCACTTCCTCTCAGATGTCTGCAGTCCAACCACCACCAACAGCAGCCAACACCTTTTCAGCGAAAGAAACCTTTCTTCCCATAAGCTCTGTAAATACCAATGCTTCTGATGGAGAACTCGGGCATATCAATTGTCAAAGTTCTTCCTCAAAGCCTAGAGTAAAGCAGTCCCTGCTAAAAAAAAAAACTTAATTTGGCTTCACTTTCAGAATTGTCACCGAGAGGAAGGAAATTATATGAACATATTCAGAATAAAGAGAGTGCGCTCTGTAAACTGAAAAAGAAATATAAGGGAAAGAAGCTAAAAAAAGCTCTGTGATGTGGACAGTGATCCACTGATGCAGAGTCTTTCATCTCCTTTCAGTTCAGAGGCTGCCAAATTTTTGGCAGCAATGTTTCAGAACATTATACAGAAGCCTAAGGGCAGGAGGTGGAATTCTGATGAAAAAGTGTTTTCTCTGTCTCTCCTTAAACATAGCCCTAAATCCTATATCCTCCTTCATTCACTGCTCCCTCTCCCATCCAGACAACCCTTGCAGCCTGTCCTGAATACGGTTCCATTAAGACAGGCATCAATGCTCATGTGTTTCATGCACTCCAACAGTTTTCTCTACAGAAAATGTGTGGTAGAAATCGCTACTGTTGTCTTATGTTTGACAAAATGTCAATCAGGGAGAACTTGCATTTCAACTATAAATTTTACTGCATTGAGGGTTTTAAGGATTGTGGAAGCCAGTGCAGGACATGCAATATTGCAAATCCTGCTCTAGTTTTCATGATCCATGGCCTACATGGGAAGTGGAAGCAACCAGTAGCTTACTACTCTACTCATGGAAGCACTAAGGCAGAGAAGACTATGTGGTACTGGAAGGAGGTTCTTGACGCCTGTCAGAATGCTGGACTGAAGGATGTTGCCACTGTGTGTGACATGGGGGCCAACAATGTCAAGGCCTTGAAACTGTTGGGAGCATCCAAAAGGAAACCACTCTTCAGATTTCATAATCAAGAAATTGCAACAGTGTATGATCCTCCCCACCTCCTGAAGTGCACCCAAAAACCTATTCCGAAAGTATGATGTGCGGTTGAAGTCTGAGCATCTGGGCAACCAACTTCCTGTTATTGCTAAGTGGGACCACATGTTGAAACTGTAGGAACTCGACAAACCCAGACGGTTTTGTCAGTTGATCAAGCTGCCAGACACCCACCTGAACTCCAGTGCACAAAGTGTTATGAAAGTCAACATGGCTGCTCAAGTTACAAGCCACAGTGTGGCTGCAGGTAAGAACCACTGCACTGTATGCTACTGACTATGTTCTCTTACGAAAGAAGTGGCTAATGAGAATAATGAGGGCTTACTTACTTATGGAGCTGAGCTCTTCATGAGGAGAAACGAAATCTGCAACTAATCCAAAATTCCCCAGCATTTTATGGACCCGAAGGTTCATTGCTGTGTTTGCAAGAGCCCCACACTGGTCCCTATCCTGAGCTAGATCAATCCAATTCATACCAGCCCATCTTATCTCTCTAAGATCCATTTTAATATTGTCCACCCACCTACGCCTTGGTCTTCCCAGTGGTCTCTTTCCTTCTGGCTTTCCCACCAATATCCTACACGCATTCCTCGTCTCCCCCATTCGTGCTACATGACCTGCCCACCTCATCCTCCTTGACTTGATCATTCTAATTATACTTGGAGAAGAGTACAAGTTATGAAGCTTCTCATTATGCAGTTTTCTCCAACCTCCTGTCACTTCATCTCTCTTCGGTCCAAATATTCTCCTCAACACCCTGTTTCAAACACCCTTAATATTAGAGACCAGGTTTCATACCCATGCAAAACTACAGACAAAGTTATGCTTTTGTGTATTTAAGTCTTTGCATTTCTAGACAGCGAATGAGAAGACAGATGGATCTGACCAGAATGGTGGCAGGCATTACCTGAACTTAATCTGCTCTAATTTCTCAGGGGGCAAATTCTGATTTGTTACTGCTATTCCCTGGGGGCATTATCTACAAGCCAGAAGGTCGCGGGTTTGATTCTCAATTAGGTCACTGGATTTTTCAATTGACATATTCCTCCCATTTGTAGTATGGCCCTGGGGCCAACCCAGCCTCTAACAGAAATCCAAGAATCTTCCTGGGGGTAAAAGTGGCTGGCATGTACAGCTAACTGCCTCAACGCCATCTGTCAGCCGATTGTCTAGAAATTGTGGCAAGCCTCAACATCTCACAACCTTATGGGCCTCCACGGCCTGTTACAGGGACAGCTTTACATGTTTACCTTTACTGTTATTGGCAAATACATGAACTTCACCATATTTTCAAAGGACCCATTAGTCATCTGTATGTTATGATTTTGTCCTGCATCCTGATTATACATCAGCATATACTTAGTTTGCTCTGTTTACTTCTAGACCAACCTCCTTAGTAGCGTCAACTGAACTTTTGTGTATGATTTGATGTTTTCATGGCGGTCACTATGAAGAAAGCAGTCTTCTGGGATGTGGGGCCATGTAGATATAGTGTTATCCGACGTTTCGCAGGAACGTACCGTCTCCATCTTC